GCGCCTGTGAGGGGATATGATAACTTTATACAAATATATTCGGGGCCAGTACAAACCTTTATCTGGAAATCTATTCATAAACAGGGCTATACGTAGGACACGAGGTCACACATTTAGGCTGGAAGCAGTGGCGTACTAATGGGGGGCGGAGGGGGCGGTCCGCCCCGGGAGACACCAGGGTGGGGGGTGCCATGACCAGGAGCACCCCCCCATGCTGCAGCCGCCCGAGCGCTCTGTTGAGAGCCTCAGGCAGCTGCAGCATTGCCCGGGCGGTGCGTCCATGAGGGCGGACCGCACCGCCCGGGCGCAGCCTGAGGAGAGGGGCTGACAGGAGGGAAGCGCTCAGCGCTCCCTCCTGTCACTCCCTCTGTTGTAGCGTGTCCGAGCCCAGTATAGTCCGCGGGTACAGGGAGCACTTCCTGTTAGTCCGGCCGGGTACAGGAGACAGATGCTCCCTGTACCCGCGGACTATACAGGGCTCGGCCACGCTACAGGGAGGTGGGGAGGGGGGTGAGAAAGAGAAATTGGGGGGTGAGAAAGAGAAATTGGGGGGTGAGAAAGAAAATTGGGGTGAGAAAGAGAAAATTAGGGGGTGAGAAAGAAATTAGGAGGGGGGAGAGAAGCCTAGAGGGGGGGAGAAATATAAATTAGGAGTGGGGGTGAAAGAGAAATTAGGAGGGGGGGGGGTAGAAAGAGAACAGGAGGGGTGAGAAAAGAGAAATTGGGGAGAAATTAGGGGAGAGAAATAGGGGGTGAGAGAAAGAGAAATTAGGGGTGAGAAAGAGAAATTGGGGGTGAGAGAAATTAGGGGGGAGAAAATTAGGAGGGGGGGGAGAGAAATTAGGAGGGGGAGAAAGAGAAATTAGGAGAGGGGGGTGAGAGAAATTAGGGGGGGAAGAGAAATTAGGAGGGAGGGAGAGATATTAGGAGGGGGAAAGAGAAATTGGGGGGGAGAGAAATTGAAATTAGGAGGGGGGAAAGAGAAATTAGAGGGGGTGAGAAAGGAGGTGAGAAAGAGAAATTGGGAGGAGGAGAAGGAAATTGGAGCGGGAGGAGAGATTGACATTCATCACATACACACAATGCACCCCTTGCACAGAAAACACACAATGCATTACACACAGAGACACACATACACAAGCAATGCAACCGTTACACACAATGCATCCCTTACACACACAGAAACACACAATGCATTCATTACACACACTCAATGCATCCCATACATACACAGAAACACATCTTGCAGCCCTTACACATACAAACACAATTTCACACAATGCATTCCTTACACACATATCAGGACATCCCTTACACCCTCCACCCCCTGTGAACAAACTCATTGGTGGAACATGAAGGTGGACCCTGGGACCCAGACCTTGAGCTGTGTAAAGGACCCCCAAAAAATGGAGCTGCTTCCCGCTCTCCCAGAACATTGATTTTTGTGACCACAGTTACAAACTGCCTCCAGAGAGCCTGTTCTGCACCAGACCAGTGGAGCCAGACTGCAGCTAGAGCCCATCATCATCCTCATCTGGTTGTAAGTAGGCAATCTAGTATATTATTCATGGCACTAAGCTCTAATTTACCTCACATTAAAGAAACACTATAGTCCCCAGAACCACTTCAGCTTAATGTAATGGCTCTGGTGTCTATAGCCTGTCCCTGCAGGCCTTTTAATGTAAACACGGCGCACTGCAGCACTGGCGTTAGTTAACATGGCAAATCATATGGGTGGGGCATTGTGATGTCACATGGGGGGGGCGGCAAACTTTACTTTTGCTTAGGGCGGCTAAAATCCTTGCACCGGCCCTGGCTGGAGGGGGCTGTGAGAGCTGTGGTCAGCACAGTGTCCCATGGTAGTTAGGGGTGCATGGAGGAAATGTGTATGTGTGACTGTCTGCCTGTGACCGTGTGTGACTGTCTGCCTGTAACGAGTGTGTGTGACTGCCTGTAAATGTGTGTGTGGGGCTGCAGGATTTTGTAGAAGGGGGCGGGGGTTTTGTATTGGGACAGGAGTCTTTATAAGGGGGATAAGCAGGGGACGTGAAAGGGGGGTTATGGGGTTTTGTGGCATGGGGCAGTACAGGATTTGTAGAAGGGGCAGGACAGAGGTTTTGCAAAAGTTTACAAATTGTAAAAAAAAAAGAAAGAAAACCTTTAACATTTTTTACAGGTTTTTTTTTTTTTTTGGGGTGGGGGGTGCCAAGCACAGGATCCGCCCCGGGTGCCAAATGCTCTAGGTACGCCCCTGGCTGGAAGAAAGGAGATTTCATCTAAGGCAAAGAAAAGGGTTTTTTACAGTAAGAACAATAAGGATATGGAATTCTCTGCCTGAAGAGGTGGTTTTGTCAGAGTCCATACAGATGTTTAAACTGAAATTGGATAAATACTTACAAAAACATAACATACAGGGATATAATTTCTAATTAGTGGGGTAATAGCTGCTTGATCCAAGGAGACATCTGACTGCTATTTTGGGGTCAAGAAGGAATTTTTTCCTAGTTTGTGGCAAAATTGGAAGTGCTTCAGACCAGGTTTTTTGCCTTCTTTTGGATCAACAGCAACAACATTTGTGAGGAAGGCTGAACTTGATGGACGCAAGTCTCTTTTCAGCTATGTAACTATGTAACTATGTAACATACAGACAGACACACACACACATACAGGTTCACAGACAGACACATACACATACATAGACATTCATATATACAAACAGACAGGCACACATACACACAGGCAGACACATACAGACAGGCATACATACATACACATACAGACAGACAAACACACAAACATACATACAAACAGACAAGCACACACATACATAAAGGCAGATACACATACATACAGACAGACAGACACACACACACATACAGATAGACACACATACATACACAGACAGGCACACATACAGACACACATACATACAAACAGGCACACATACACACACACACATACATACATACATACATACAGACAGGCACACAGACAGACACATACATACAAACACACACACACAAAATGTTTAAGTCACCCTCCTGTTTCCTACCTTTTAGGTGCAGGAGGGTGACTTTCCCTGGGGTCCAGTGGTGGCCCAGGTGGATGGGAGTCAGAGTTCCCACTCTGACTCCCTGTTCTTCCTCCCGCGTGGGCTCGATGTATGCTGGGAGGAGTGACGTGCCTAAAAACAAACACTGTCATTTTGTAGGAGCAGCAATGGTTTCACTGCAGGTTTAAACACTTCCTGACAGTTACTAGAGGCGCTTCCCCTATGAGAACAGAGTTAGACTAGGTTCTTCAACTCAATGGTGCTCATTGACTGAGATCATCAAAACTAATTATCTCCACCGAGGAGGTGGGGTGTCTGTGGAAAGAACAGAGTTTTGCGGGATATAACATACGTAAAGCTAACCTTTTAAATCCTCTCAGGTGGGCCCAATGCCTAAATAGGTAGGGTAACCCTCTAGCATTAGGAAAACATGTTTTGATTCTTAACTCTATAGTGTTCTTTTAAAGTAAAATGGCACCCAGACGTAGGGCCACTATAATATCTTCCTTTAGAGGAACATTCCATGCACCATAATTGCTGCAGCCCTTTGTAGAGGTTATGATGCCAAAAGTACTATGGTGCCAGCACAGGATAAGTAGAGAAACCATTTGCAAACAGTTTACAACTTAGCAGTGATCTACTGGGTGTCCACCGCCACCTCCTACGTAGCTATAGAGCTCATTCAAAGAGCTTCCATTAGCTTTACGGAGCTAAGTCCTGCCAAGCTGATTGGCTGAGAGCATGAGGTGAACACACTCAGACATTGAGCTAAGCTCTTAATTGTCAAACGTAGCTCTGCACAGGGAGCTTCTGGGGACACAGAAGGAAGCAACTGATGGACACCAGATAAGATGTCTAACTGTTCACAAACTGTTTCACTACTTATCATGATAGGGAACCAGGGCATTCCTGGTGTAGAGGTTATGGTGCTTGGAGTGGGAATAGATTGGTTGTCTTCACTAACCTTTAAATAAAAAAAATAAAAAAATCCTTTGAAGAAAGCCAGAAGCATTTTAACATAAATTTTAATTTAATTATTTTAACTTGAACTTAAATTATTATTCTAACCATGGAACGTTAAAAAACGTGTGTGTGTGTGTGTATTAGTGTCAGTGTGTGTGTGTTACTGAGTGTGTTAGTTTGTGTGCGTCTGTTTGGTGTCTGTTAGTGAGTGTGTATGTATGTCTGTCTGTCACTGAGTGTGTGTCTGTTAGCTAGTGTGTATGCGTCTGTTGTGAGAGTGTGTGTCTTCAGCACTTGCCTTTCTCCAGCGCCGGATTCCCTTGGCGCTGGGGATCCCTCTGCCCCGAATGCTCATGCGCAGCAAGAGCCGCGCGCGCATTCAAACCGCCCATTGGAAAGTATTACTCAATGCTTTCCTATGGACGCTGGCGTCTTCTCACTGTGATTTTCACAGTGAGAATCGCGGAAGCTCCTCTAGCGGCTGTGTATGAGACCGCCACTAGAGGCTGGATTAACCCTCAGTGAAACATAGCAGTTTGTTTTCAGCTACAGGGTTAAACCTAGAAGGACCTGGCACCCAGACCACTTCATTGAGCTGAAGTGGTCTGGGTGCATATAGTGGTCCTTTAAGTGTATGTGTATCTGCATGCACTGGCGTACATACCGCAGTCGCAGCCCTGCGACCAGTAAGCACGCGGGGGGGCCCAGGGATCAGTTTTCGCACCGGGGCCCCATGGGTTGTGTGTACGCCACTGTCTCCAAGGATGCACTGACAGCTCCTATTAATCCATCAAAGAATCTTTACTTTGAAAATAAAACAACCTGCTAGCTGCCACTAATGCAAGGTGATTTGATTCAATTAACAATAAAAGGAACAGAAAAAAATAAATAACAGAAGTAACTGAGCAACATATCCACAGATTATAGTTTATTTGCAGGTATTACACATTATTGTCACTCCAGCTGTGTCCATCCCTTGCAGTGCATGCTGGGAAACATTGACCATCACCTGGAGTTTCCCACATTAACCCTGACTGAGCTATCCATGCAGACCTGGCAGCACTCTGTCTCCAGACTCTATTCAGCTTCCCTGGTTGCCAGGATACGTGAGCGGCGCCTTCTTGCCGCTCTCATTGGAGAGCCCGTCGTCCATGGCAACTGTCCGTCAAGTGACCTGCAAGGAGAGAAAAGCTGTTCAACTGTCAATGCCAATCGCCCCGAGGACTTGGCGGGTGCTGGCCTGGTGGCGGCAAATAAGCGCGCGCCTCCTGTGCGAGCGCTCAGACTAACGGCTGCGGCGGCGCGAGCCCTGGCAGTTGGTACGCCCCCCTCACCATGTTATCTCGCACTCTGATTGCTGGTGTTCGTAACTTGAGGAGTTAAGACAATTAGGTTAAACTGACATAAGTGACATTAATCCAGGGAGAGATTTGTTTACCTCAGGAGTCGAAAAAAAAGGTTAACCTCTTAGAGACGAAATAGGGGGAGGGGTTGGTTTATCTGACAGAGTGAATAGAATGGGTTTTGTATAATTTCCCTCAGTCCTTACAAGTAGTTAATAAACACCCTTTTCAGATTTTTTTCCCCCCCCAGATGTAATTATTCTCGGCTTAAAGACACTTTTTTTTTTTTTCTTCTTTCTTAGCTTCACATCTCTGCTGCATTAAACATGGATCAATTATAGGACCTATTGTCTCAGGTGGAAAATACCCAAATAATAACTGATTCAGGTAACCAGGATTGGGAATTCGTTAACTAATTTATTATTTGTCATTAACGTTACAGAAAGAACTCTAAAAATAATTGTAAGAGAATACTTAATTTTAGGGCAAAGTAAGTGAATTAGAAAAAACACCTGGTTTGAGCTATTTTGCTTAACGTTTTTAATTCAGTTTGATTGACGGACAGTTCACACTTTTAGTGAATAAACCTGAATTATATGTATGGCTGAAGGTGAAGCCAAACCAGTGAGTTATTATTATTTATCATTTTTGGCAATTCTGTAGCGCCAATATATTTCGCAGCACTTTACAATGTTTGATGTGGCATCAATCAATTAATTGATTATCTTGCGTATCTGCCCCCGGCCAAATTTAAAAAGATGAAGTAATTCACACCAGACACAGGTTTCGGGTTAATGAAAAACTTGAGGAATGTTTGTTCTGGGGGGATGGCATGCCCCTTGTAAAATTACATCAAATGCATTGTCAGAGATAACATGGAATAATACATCAATAATTGGTTAGGTGTTAAGTGGTTCATTTAGTGCCCTTCCTACCGGGTGTGATGTCACTGGTATCTTGGAGGTCTCCCCCAGATTCCAGCGCCATCTTGTTAATGAGGGTGTTAGTCGATGTCAAAGGGAAACTCCCTAGCGGCCATTTTAGGAAAATCACATATAAGGTTGAATAATGCTTTCCCATGGGGAGATCTAATGTGTGGTTATGCTGAGTAAATAGGCATTTTATAATATATGAATTGGGTTAATATTTTTGTCCACAACAGTCCCCCCTTAAAATGACCATTTACTAAAGAGACCACTACTAACTGACCCTAATAATGTCCCTACTTGGCTGCAGCTTATCTGTCTGAACAGGCCTCGAACGCTTCACTGCGTGGGTATCCCGTAGTGGCTTACCCACTACATCTCCCGCGTCAGACTCCTACCCGTGGAGACAGACGCTGTCCCTATAAAGAAGTAGTTGTCCTTTTGAGGTGGGACTGAAGAGGTGTGTGCGGGGTGTCACAATCTATATCGTCCATATCTTGATGTAGAAATGTAGGTGTGGTGCGGTCAGTGGTCTGATCTACAGTCTTTTGTAAGTACCTTTGCACCCAGGGCATCACTCAGCAAACCAGGAAGAGGAGGAGAATCACTACTGTAAGAACTGCCATACCTACTTGAAAGAAAACTCTCTGCCATCCACTCATCTATCCCAACCATCTGTCCCATGAATTGGAGACCCCTGAGTTCTTTTTTAATTCGGCAGAGAGACTTTCTAATTTCTCTATGGCCATGGTTACTTTACCATTAGGGCCTGTATTATCTGGGATGAAGGTACAGCATGTCATAGTGTCGGGGAGTATTTTACACACACCCCCCTTTTTCTGCTAGGATCATGTCTAAGGCCATTCGATTCTGGAATGTCATTTGGGAGGTAGCTGTTCTGCCAAGCCTTGAAGGGCATCTCTAGTATAATTGACAAAATGTTGCTGATTATAATAGGTATAATTAATCCAGTTAACATTCTTGTTAGCGGTGATGAGTGGGATCAAGGATTTGAATCCTGCCGCAACCTCATCTCTGGCCTTGAACTCGTTTGGTACACCTATTGCATCGATATATATGTGTGGGTCGAAACTACCTTGAATAGGGGTTACTCTTTTTATCCTGAAGTACGTATGTGGGGAATCAAGTGGGCCTTGGTGGTTGTCAGAAATTATATGTATAGGCATGATGGCTTTGGTCAGAGTGCATTCTCCCCACCACAGGCCAGTCATTTTAGATCTGAGTTGCATATCACCACATAGCCAATAAATGTCTCCCAAGGACTTGACTTGATTTACCAATAAGGTAGTGGGAGGTGTCCGATAGGTGGCGCAGAAGCCGGGAGGGAAACTACCCACAAATTTACCGGTGGTTCCGTGTATAGTGTAGCAAGTGTAATTACCTGGATACACGGTGATTCCATCAGGTGGCCTGAGATTCCCTTGAGTTATTGGATATGCCTTTTTCCATGATTCACATACTGATGAGTTTGTGGCTGATTGTACATAGAGGCTTAAAAACACATCTCAACATCGGGGGGTAGATTAAAAGGCACTGTACCCAGATGGGGTCTGGCCCTGCTACAGACATAACAGTTAGTTTTATTGTGTGAATTAGCATTATACCTCATCCACTCAAGCCATAGATTGGTATCTGAAAAACCGGTCTCCATAGCCATAGTGCCCTTGAATGTAGGATTGGCAATTGCCACCATGTCATTAAGAGTTTTAATGTGTGGTTTTAGAGGGTTTGCGATCATGTGTGTAGAGTCTACCCAGTCAGGTGAAGTATGCATGTCTTGTAAATAGAAGGTTCCCAACTTGTTATATGAGCCACCCCCTCTCCAGTACATCCCCATTACATACTCTCTAGTGTCTCCTGGGTAGGGATGTTCTATGTTTAAGGGGAGTTTCATTGGGGTAGACCCTGTTGGCCTACATAAGGTCATTCTGTGTAATAAGGGTTTCCCATGTCTGTCCACCCTATCCAAGGCGCTTTGTGGTCTGTAGCCCCATGGTCGGCCTATGTTCCAACCTGCTGCTTTCCAGGTACTACAATGATGTCCCCAATGGTCACCTGTCACACAAATGTATGGGTCCTTTCTATGAGGTATGTCTTTGTATATTGCTGAGTGTTGTGATTGTGGAAAAGTACAAGGAACAATATCACAGTAATCAAAGGTAAAAGTAGCTACATGTGTGTTTGAAGAGTTATACCAGAATGTGTAAACACGATTATCTTTGGTGATAGCAACTTGTTATGCCTTTTAATAGGCCTAGCAGCAGAAATAGACACAGAAAGCTCATAGTTTAGCGGGATCTGCTTCCTCTGGATCAGGAACTTTCTTACAGTGCGAGGCGTGTATCCAGGTATTCTTCCCAGCCAATTTTACCGAGGTAGACGTGGTCAATAGGACTTGGAATGGACCATCAAACCTTGGCTCAAGAGTGTGCTTTCTCAGGAATTTCTTGACCATAATCCAGTCACCAGGAAGGAGTTTATGTGTACCCGTGTTTGATTCTGGATCTGGAATAGAAGAAAACACCTGTGCATGGATTTTGGTCAAGGCATGAGAAAGTGCAGTTATATAATCTACCATTGCATCTGACTGAATTTGAAGTTGTTGAGGAAAATAACAGCCTAACCAAATAAAATCTCGTAGGGGGATAAGCTAAATCTTCCTCTTGGAGTGTACCTTACACTAAATAATGCTATGGGAAGACTTTCCGGCCAGGGTGGGTTACTTTCTTGGGCCATCTTAAGCACTCTGGCTTTCAAGGTGCCACGTGCTGCCCAGATTTCCTTGGTTAGCAACGCGGTGAAGGATGTTCCCTGGTCACTTTCAATCACCTCCGGAACTCCATATCTGCAGATGATTTCGGTAAGTAGGCGCTTTGCTGTGGTCTTAGCAGTGAGATTAGTGACAGGAAAAGCTTCTGGCCATCAATTTATGGTCCTTTTAGTGACCCCCATCAATGTGAGCTGTTCTTGAGTTGCGGTACTCCATGTTTTGGTCATTGGGCCGAGTTCTTTCCATGAGAGATTTGGTGAAAGTTATGAGGAACTGCCACCTCCCAGTGTTGGTATAAATGTGATACCTCCATGGGCAGGTAGACCAAGATAACAGTATTTCCTCTGGAGTCACAGAACAGGTCTGTCAGGGTGATGCGTATTTCCACCAGGCTGAATCTTTATAGTATGGGTCAGGACCTGGGGTACTCCTGAACCACAGGGTGCAATGTAAGTAGCCCTCAGGTTGTTCGTCATGTGGTACCATGGGCTTTTTCACTTGAAGGTCCATATAAACATCAGGATTTATGTCCAGACTGTACCAGTATTGTGGTACTCCCCCCTTGAGAAGTGGCAGAAGAGTGGCCGGGTTCAAAGAGTAACATCTTTGTAGAGTGGCGTTATCAGGCAAGAGGAGGGAGGTTTGAAGGCGGAGGTGTCTCTGGGAGGAGAGATGTTTCGGTTGGACTTGATTCAGGATGGCCGTGATGTCATGGGGAGCAAGGACAGTGAGTTTATGTCCGAGAACAAATTCATTAGTTTTGTCCAGCAGGGCACTGGCAGCAAACACAGCACGTAAACAAGAAGGACCACCTCGAGCCACGGGGTCCAGCATGCATGAAAAATAACCAATAGGGCGTTGACAGGAACCATGTGATTGTGTAAGGACCCCTGAAGCGTGGCCCATCTTTTCAGAGACAAAAAGTTTGAATGGTTGCCGATAGGTAGGCCCAAAGCTGGGGCAGAGAAGATGGCCCTTTTGAAGGGCATAGTAGCAGGAGCGAGCTGTTTAAGACAGTGAAAATGGTTCAGTCTTCAAGGCATCATAGAGAGGTTGCATGAGCTGAGAAGCCTCAGGGAACTGCAGTATGTGATGAGGCCCAAGAAAGCATGAAGAGCTTGGTGAGTAGATGGGAGAGAGAGATTGGTAATAGCAAGTACTCTGTTCTTTGTTAGGTGACGGGTGCCATGGGAAAGGCAATGTCCCAAGAAGAACACAGAGGGCCGGCACCACTGAAGTTTCATTCTGAAGGCTTTACATCCTTCTTCAGCGAGGAAACAAAGGAGATCTTTGG